ATTTGATCTTGAAGAGAATTCTTTTAATTCACTATTTGATGAGCGAAACGAAAGTCCAGACATAATACGGCCTGACCTCCACTTTCGAATTTAATTGGACGGGTGCTAAATATTAGGAAGAGGTAAGACATATTTTCGCGAAAATCGTCTTTCACTACACTATAAGTCAATGTAAAGTCACCTCATAGCACGCTGCAAGACAATTGGAATAATGTGTGGTGTACCGGTCTTTTTCTGTAAGGTAGGTGGGTGAGTCTAGAAAATTTCTGTCGCTTACCAGCGGAAACTTTCTGAAATGTCCGCATCATACTTAAGACAGCGACTGTTTGAGTCAGATATTTCAAATTCGGTTTTCACAGATGTCGGGTATACTAACCTATATATTTCTTCAACCAAGTAATAAAATGACTCACGAACCTCTCATAAGAACCAGGAGGCTTTAGCAGCGGTAGTGCTACGACTACTTGCTGTCCTAAGGTTGTTGCTCGATTTGACTCCTGAGTCTTCGTAATCAGCCACAGATAGCACTATTTCATTTGATGCGTTACTGCATGAGTCAAGTCAGTCATTTACGAACATCACAACACTCTCGCTACAACTTACTTCCAGTAACCAATAATAATAGTAATAATGATAATTTATTCTATAATAACAACGTGTAACAGAAGCATGCTAGTTAGCGGATAAAATTATGATGCTAAATTGCTAACAAATTTTCTCTTAAATGTTTTTCGGTTAGATAAATAATTCATAAGATACACTCGCTTTCCATGGACGGCTAATATTTTGCACATAAAATATCAAGGCTAATATTCAAGGAGTAGGATAAGGTGCTGAAATAGACCAATAAAGAGAAAGGGGAGAGATGCAGAACAGGAAATATTTTTGTTCGAAGCTGTGTCATGTTTCACAAGATAGTTTTTGTATAAAAAATCTTATGACCATTTGCACTTACTTTCTTTTGAATAGATCACTTGCTGCACAGTGACAGTTATGTAGGTTAGTGAAGCAAAGTCACTGTGAAGGCAAAAAACGGGTAAATGATAGTATGAATAGAGGGGATTTGGGAGAAGTGAAAGTTATATAGATCTACAGAATATAACAGGAACGACACATTGATTTTATGCCTTGATGATATTTCATTTATTTCTTTACCACCATTGCTTAAGAAGTCATGGACGAACTCCTTGTCGAGATTAGCTTGTAATAGAATTTCTTGTTAAGATGTGAAACCAGTTCAGGGTTACAAACATGGGTCAGAGGCGTGGTTGACGTGGAAAAGTAACATAAATATCATTGATTAGCTATATCTTACTTTGTTGTTGGGAGCAGTATGCAAAAAAATGTTCTGACCAAAAGACGTGAATAGACTAAGGTTATAACCCCACCATCATGAAGGCTGGTCATATTCACAACACTCTCGCTTTGTGATGTTAGTCTTACTTATGTTTATGGTAGGCTCCAATGAATGCTTTCGTCTAAGTCATGCTTGTTTGCTTATCTTGTCGGAATACAATGTCTTCACTGGTTCCATAATGCAAACAGACAGCTTCTGTATAATAGTTCATCTATATCACACTGACATCAAGTTAACTAATGGTATAAAATTTAAGATGTAATTCAGTTAATAAGTAACTTGAAGATGAAAAAGACAGCCAGTTGACGAAAGAATATGAAGAAATATAACGTTAGGCGATAAGTGGGAAACAGATATGTTTGAACATTATTAAAAATGGAAATAAAAACTTATGAAACCCATAATAAAAAAACAAAAAAGGACTAACAGTGATAGATTATAGCTTTAGTTTCTTGTGATAGACGATTGCTGTAATTAACGTTTACTGGAAATATTGACTAAAACTGATGAACCATTCGTTACACTCATCACACTACATTTCCTCCTCTAAAGAGACTTGATTTGGCTGTTCAAATTCATAATTACGGTCAAATAATTCGCAGGCTTCATTAGAAAGGATCTTCAGTCAGTGAGTTCTATACTTTCAGGATTCTTACCTTGAAAACGCTTGTGCTGATTTCTGTGCTAGCACGGCCTAGCTTTATTGTCAGTGGGTGTCCATTTCTGTATGACTTGACTGTCAAATGCGTTAGGAACTTAATGTGGTGACATGGATTATGAGTGGTACCAAATAAACTTGTGTAAGTACGTGAAAATTGATCCGACTTATTGTTCAATGACAGTTCCAGAATTGCAAAAGACCAACACACTATCGATTAATGCATCCTAATCCAACTAGTTTCCATAAATCTCTCTAAATTTCAACTACAGTCGAAGAGTATAGCAGGCTGCTAGTTGAAGTGGATAAGACTATGGGGACTACTACGACGACATTTTTACTGGTTGGTCTACTTTTTCCACAAAGAGAACAAATGTGTCGTTAAATGAGTTCCACCAATACTCGGATATACTCAGAGAGTGCAAATAATATCTAGACAAATAACGAGTTTTCAGTACCGAACTCTGTAGCATCCTTATAATTAGACGCAGATTTCATCAATTAAAGTCCTGCCTAAGATATATTTCTCGAGTACTTGTACTTAGACTTAACAGCACATAAATATTTTGGCAGAACTCAAGACAATCGTTTACGGAAGTGCCTATTCACCACCCCCACTATATCTGGATTAGCTTAATCGAACTCGGTTTTTCCGTGATTAAGGATGAAGTAGGTAAAGTCGGTTGATAATAGAGCAACAAACAGCCGGAAAGTTATTCACCAGCTGGAAAAGACTTTCACTATGTTGCTATTCTACGAAAGAAATTTAAGGTATTATCTATTCAGGAACCCTAATGATTCTCCGGTGGCAAGCAACTCCTATGTACCTACCTATCAACGCTCTACACTGCTGCGTGCCTATAAAAGGTCAAACCTAGTCAAAACCAAAATAAATGAACTGGGCTATTAGTAAGCTGGATGAATTTTACATCTCGGTGGTTACAACATCATTGGGTGACGGAGATTCGACTAATTTTAACTAAGTAATTTTAATTACTTCCCCACAATCCAAAGTGATATAACTCTGAATGTACTCATTTACAGAAGCTGATGTCTGTGGGTCTATAGAATACCCTAACTGTTCTTTTCGTCATTTAACGATTCTACTCATATTTCGATGTCTCAAACACAATTTTATCTTTATTATGAGACAAAAATGCTGTTACACAGAAAGATTCTGGAAACTGCCTTCAGATGCTGTGTTTATGAGACAGATCGCAATTCCACCTTTCAGAAACAATGTTACTGATGTCAGTAGCTGAAATATTAACACAAGGCAACTGCTTTTAGCAGTTTGCTATATGCTGGACTTCCTCCGTAGATTCGTTAAAAAACTAGTAAAAACTTCCGTGAACCAGCTGAATATATCACTAAACCAATATCCGAAACCTTCCATTTTATGATCAGCGTTCTCTTATGTTGTGAACCACATAGTGCTCATCAATAATTGTAACAGAGATATCAGGACTTGACAACTATCCGTGAGCTACCAAGGGAACTGTTCTACGACGACGGGAATATACCTAAGGTTCGAGCTATTAACTTCCACCTCAGCAGTATCATCCAAACAAATATAACCTTCCCTGTGAAATAATGGATCTGAATTTCCGCTTGCTCCTTAGGAACAAGTTATTGTAAAGACATGTCTACATTGTGACGAGCTTACTCGTAGCATATTTAATGGATTAGAATGCTCAACTAAATAAAGCATTGAAGAGTTATCTGATGATTCAGACCTGGTACTTACTAAGGACAATCACAAATGTGACGAATTAATTAGTGACTAATTGTAATCTATCTTATGATGGTTTCATAAATATTTTTCCCAAGGATTATCTAGTCATTGAAACTAGGGTTTATCTCCCAAAAAATGTTAAGAGAATAAGTTAACTTTTTCATGATATGATTGACATTTCGTGAAATGAAATTCAGCCTACCAGATCTTGTTTGTCAGAACTAATTATGTCAAGGTGATTTTGGGTAAGCAGATTTACAGACAAGCGCTTATTTGAGATATGGCTGATTTGTCGTTGTTTGATCCTTTAATACTAGAAAATATCAACTGTTCTGAGTTAATCAGGAAACATGTACGGCATTTAAATTTCGAAAATACAGAAATAACTCTGAAAATACGTCCCCTTTCATCAAGCGATTATGGTAGTCTCACAATTTTTCTGTTAACTTTCAGATTATCTTGTTTTATTAAAACAGCTAACTGTAGTTGGGAAGATAGATAAAGCGGAATTCGAAGGTAATAAGTATTGAAAATAATATCTTTCATTAGAAAGATTCTCTTTGATGTCCTCTTGTTTGGATACTTACTTCATTGTGGTTTTAGAAGACATAACAACGAGTAGCATTGTTGGGGCAGCAACTCTTTTAATAGAATTAAAGTTCATTCACCAATGTTCGAAGGTATCTGTCAGTTCACTCTATATGCTTTAGCGAGGTCATATTGAGGATGTTATAGTCGATTCCAAATTTCGAGGGATGAATTTCGGGAGATTGTAAGTTCTACTTTCACTTTATACATGTATTATAGTTCCTAACAGAGCCGTTTATGATTTTTAAACATTTACATTGGGCTGTCGTTTAATATATCGTAATTTTAACCCTTCCTCCTGACTCTACCCATAATAATATTGTTTTTAATCTGAATATAAAACAACACTAGTTCAAATATACTATAAGTTGATTAAGGCTTTAATTCGAGAGTGTATTAAAGTTTGATAACAAAGCATTAAAGCATTACCGTTCATGTTGTGTTTTCTGCCCATGTGAACTCTGTCAGCTGTTTAATATTGCACCCATATCCTTTTAAAAAATGACTAATAATCTATTTATAATGTTTGTGTCTCGAGATCAATCATACATGCCTACCATAGGACTAATTTGGGCACTGCCAGCTAGCTTCTAAATATTCTTACTAATAATGTAACATATTTAAATTTTCGGATTACCTAAAAATCTGGTGCAGAAATGGGAAATAATATGTCCACATCAGTATATAAAAAGTAAATACAGTTTGAAAATTACAAGTGGAGTGATGGAATACAAAATTTTAACTAATATGGAAGCTCTAAACTTAGGGTAAGAAAAGTAATAAGCCTATCTATGCGACATATGTAAATTGTCATGTGGCTTAGCGCTCTCAAATTCGGTCACAAATACCGCACTGATCTAAAGCGAACAGCTCCTACATAAGGACGTAACTCAGATGAACAATCTTGGTTTTTACTCATTCAGATTTCTTCTAACTTACCCATTTGCTCACTCACTTTGTATTATGAAATAAGTGCTCGTTGAGCATACTTAATACACTTGAATATCATCTAGTCGATGAAAAATCCTAGTCTCAACAGGCGTTCTGTCTGTACGTAGTACATTACACCTAACCTCAGCAGTATTCAGTCAACTGTACCACCATATCTTTGCAATGCTTCGAAGATATATGTGGCAAAATCCTAGTAGCCTACTGACTTGCTTTAATTTTAAAGGCCATTTCATAACAACTCTTCATTATACTCATCTTTTGGTAGAAGGCGGGCATCTGCGTTACGGCAAAGGTGAAACAGCTCTAAGTAAACTCATTAAATTCACACTCACCAACTCACGATGACTGATAAGATTTACAGGACAAGTGGGAAGGTCAAAATATTCAATAAGTTTACTTTCTATGGTTAATGTAGACGTTGACTCAGACTAAGACTGAAGAATTTTGCATTTGGAGAGAGAAGTGCTCTGCAACATTCTTCAGGACCTTAATAAACTTTGGGGAAACGCGCATTATAATGTATGCGAACAGAACAACACATTACATCAGATTCGGAAACATATGTAGGGAGAAGCACAACCTAGCGGCATGGCTCAAAATCGTTTGCAATGGCGTAGTCGCATTCATTCTTTGTGTTCTGTTAAATTCTAATCTGAATTCCTCATAAACTTCATCTTTTCTCAAATTTATTTCACCAGATTATGCCCTTTGAATAATCTCTTGAACCCTAATCTTTCCGACTACTACTAATATTTCTATTGCCTCTACCACTATGAGAGCTAATGTGGTATGACAACTGGAACTGATGTACGTACTGACGAAGTTCTACGTTGTAACTGACTAAATGACAACCTAGCCGCTCCTGAAACTATAACAAGTAAATTAGAGGAGGTAACTGGCCAGTAATCACTTTGGATTCATGCAAAATCTAACAACAAACCAAACGAAATACTTTGCTCACCACTTAAATACTATGGGTGATAACCTTGACTTATTTTTTGTTACGAAACATGAACGTATTGCTGACCAATTAAGAAATTATTGCTATTTCTATAGCAGAAATACAACGATACCGGATATTAGGACATTATTCGTTTGTCGAAGTTTAACATGATTAGTCATTTCCAACTTACGCTTAGAAATGTCGGAGGAGTCCCTAGATGTTTATTTCGACATTCGTGCACAGGCTAAGTATGATCAAAGTTAAAAGGAATGCAAAAACAGCAGTTTCAGACTAAAAAGATAAAGTTGTTTATGCGACAAAATTGCTACGTTGTGAAATCTACAAACAGCTCTTTCCAACTGCTTGGTTAAATAAAATGATATCCAGGGACGTGAGATGAGATGTATCATTACTATCCTATTGTGTTGCTTCATTGATGATACTTTCAAAAGGCTTAGTAAGTGATGCTTTAATCTATGTGTCACATTGGGCATTTCGCTGAATAAGAGCAGGCTGCTTTTCGACCTGAACGTGGCTGTATAGACCACATTTTCGCTCTACAACAGGTCCTGGAACACAGACACATTTAGGCGTCCGACAATAAATTTGTTCCTGGAGCTTAAGGCGGCATTTAACGCGGTCGATCGTGAAGTTCTGTGGCCGTGTCTGTCATTGAAAGGTTTACCGAAGAAGTACATTAACCTTATACAAGCTATCTAATCGAACACCACTAGTCGAGTGAGAGCCTATGGCGCACTGTCATTGCAACTCTATACTTCGAGTGGTGGCCGTTAGGGATGTCTACTCTCTCTATTCTTGTTTAACTTTGTCGTAAACAGAGTTGGCATTATCCTCGTCAAATTTTTCAGGAGTAGACCTTCTACCAGGAAAATCGCTTACTGACCTAGAATATGTCAATGACATAGTTCTATTTGGTGAAGACGCTGTCGAAATGCGGAGTCTTCCGGCCACCTTGAGCAATATTGCAAGCATGTTCGGGATGCGGTTTTCCCCCTCGAAATGCAAAATGTTGCTTCAAGATTGGCTTGCGACTTCACCGGAACTAGTGATAGGGAGTGAAGTAGTTAAGCTTGTCGACCGCTTTATTTATCTCGTCGGTCTCATCAGTGCTGATGGCCTGAATACAGAAAGCTCGATTGACCTTTTCTAATTTACGTCATTTATGGCGTAGACCAGATATCCGTTTGCTGACTAAAGGACGAGTGTACTGCGCAACAGTACGCTGCGTTCTGCTATATGGTCGCAAAACATGGCCGGTAAGATCAGAAGATATTCGTAAGTTACTAGTATTAGATCATGGATGTCTTAGAAGCATTGCTCGTGTATCGTGGGACACCCGAGCACCGATGCTGTCGTTAGGAAACGGGTCCTACATAAGGATGGCAGATCGATAGATAAAGTATTGAAACTTCATCAGTTGAGGTGGTTGGGACGTGTTACGAATGCCCGACCACCGACTGCCTCGACGAGATTTGTTTCGTGGTGTAGGACTCAGTCAGAAGAAATTTAGGGCCGAAAAACCAAAACATGGCAGAAATCCATGAAATCATTGACAAATGGACTGAGTCACGTTGGTAGATGTCGACTACGTGGTTGGGGTCCGCGAGAAGAAAGTCAACGACGGTTAGAGACCTAGAATTACATGGATCAAGACCGTTTGCGATGGAGCAGGTGCATCCACTCGTTGTTTTCTCAAATCCTAATCTTCTGGATTCGTCAACACCTCTACTTTTGTCTTTCTAAAAATATCTCACTGAATTATACTTCTTGAATAATATCTTGTAACCCTTATCTTCTCTATTACCAGTAGTACTCCTACTATCTCTTCCACTATGTGATTTGAATTGACAATTGCATCTCTGTGCTGATTTGGTATGGCAACATGAACTGATGTACTAACGTACGAAGTTTTATGTCCTGTCTGACTGATGGTGAATAGATTTTCAGGTGGGTCTTTATCAAGCTGTCACCACTGACTTCTATTCCGAGAAACTTCTGATTATATCTCAAGCTCCGGTGTTGCACTGTGTCTTGAACCGTAAACAAAGAGTTGTGAAGATTAGAGAAATCTCATTCCTCTACAACTTTCTTCCATACTCCGGTATCATATCATAAACAAATCATCGCCCAACTCTTCCTAATCAATCTCTGTATCGGCAAATAATTAGTGATGTAGAATCTGTTCAGACATTTGTGTAATGATATCTCTTCAAATTCTTTGTCAGTATAATCGAAAATAGTTATTTCAAGAGAATAAATAGCCTAGCTGCTATTGTTGATAAATAGCGTCTGGAAGTCTAGCGGAACTGAGTAATTTGGGCTTAAAGAAAATATAGTACTATAATTATTTACTGATAGCGAGCTTCCTTCATTTATATTTATTTCTATTTGTTTTTACTCTAAACATAACTTTCATGGCAAGTGATTAACCCTGAATGAATGAGCAACTTATAATAAATCTAGGAGGATACTCGAACATCCATAGGCGTTCACTATTGATGGTGAAAATAAATGTTTATGGCATAATTCACTAGTATGTCAAAAAGCTGTATCATTGTGATATAGTAATAGAGGGAAGTGATGATACGTTCACAGAACTTATCATTCGTTAAATCGTTAGAATGTGAGTTTCATTCTAGTTACCACTCATTAACAAGACGCACCAGTTATCTTAGGGTGTAATGATGAGATTCTTAGTAGATTTGAATTTACGTCATCCGAATTTACAGTCTAAGACTTTTACTGCTGAGCTAGTCAAGTTGAAACTAACTGCCTGTATTACTATAATAATACTTACAGTTGATTAACTACTGACTTGTAACTAATGTCATGTTTATACAATTCTCTGATATAGGTAGAGATTTTTCAGATCAAGTTGAAATATGATGATACGTAACTCGATATCATAGTCATTTTCCAAAACACATACTATCTTAGTACATAAACTGAAATACCCATAACCATTCATCAGTCAGTCAGTCAGTCATTTGCAACGTAGAACTTCGTACGTAAGTACATCAATTCATGTCGCCATACCACAACAGCACAGAGATGTAATTGTCAAATCAAATCCAATAGTAGAAGAGGTAGTCAAGGTATTAGAAGTAATTGGAGAGGTTAGGATTAGAAGATATCATTCAAGAAGTATGATTCAGTGAGAAAAGTTTAGAAAGTTAAAACTAGAGGTGTTGAAGAACCCAGAAGATTAGGATTTGAGAGAACACGAAGAATAAATGCACCGGCGCCATTGCGAACGATTTTGAGCCATGTCATTCAAGGTCTCAAACCATCGATTATTATCATCTCGTGGACCCCAACCAGGTAGTCGACAATTACCGACATGGCTCAGTCCATAAGTCAATGATTTCATGGATTTCTGCCATGTTTTGTTCTGGCCGCCCCTAACTTTCTTTGAACCTATTCCTTCACTACAAAACAAAGCTCGTCGAGGCAGTCGATGGTTAGGCATACACAACACATGTCCCAACCACCTCAACTGATGAAGTTTCAATACTTCATCTATTGATCTGCCATTCTTACCTAGCACCCGATTCCTAATAACAGCGATGCTCACTCGGGTGTCTCACGGTATACGAGCAATGCTTCGAAGACACCTATGATCGAAAACCAGTAACCTACGAAAGCCCTCTACCCTTAACGGGCAATGTCTCTCATGCTGTATAGTAGGACAGAGCGAACTGCTGCGCAGTACATCCGTCCTTTAGCCAGCAAACGGATATCTCGCCTACGCCATAAGTGACGCAGGTTGGCAAAAGCCGACCGAGCTTGCTGTATCCGAGCAGAGATTTCGTCAGCCACCAGGCCATCGGCACTGATAGACTCCCAAGATAAGTGAAGCGGTCTACACGTTCGACTACTTCACTCCCTATCACTAGTTCAGGTGACGATGCAACCCAGTCTTGAAGCAACACTTTTGCATTTCGAGGGGGGAAACCGCATCCCGAACAAGCTCAGCATTGTTGCTTAGGGTGGTCAGAAAACTGTACATTTTGTCAGTGTCTTCACCAAGTAACTATGTCATCGGCATATTCTAAGTCAATAAGCGAGCCTCCTGTTGATATGTCTACTCCTGCAAATTCAAACGAGGATAAGGTTATATCTAGGAGCATGTCTATGATAAAATTAACCATTCATTAAAATGTTTTTATATCATTTGAAAGTAACAACCCAATAAATTATTTCTTTATCTATCTATCTATCATTTTTTTCAGACTTGTGGACACATTGGTTCGTATAGGCAAACATATGGGTTGTTATAAAATCACACTTGATTGCAGTGATGAAAAAGTTGGATTTTATGAAAAACTAGGCTTTCAATGTAAAAATAATATTATGTATTTAAGATTTGATGATGAAAATTAAAACTGTGTGTGTGTTTGTGTTTGTGTGTCTGTAAACTTTTGTATAAAGAGAGAGAAAATCTTAAAAACCAAAAAAAAACAGAACAAAACAAAACAAAGTCTTTCATAATGTGGAATAATAGTTTGCAGAAAATGATTTTAACAATAATATCAATAATAATAATAATAATGACAGTCATAAAACAAAAAATTCAACTCTTCTGTTGTTCGTTAAAAAAACAAAACACAAAAAAAGAAACATGGGTTTTCAGGTGATTATTTCTCACTGATATATATGAATTATAATATCAGAACAATTAATTGTTTGTTAAATGTTTATAACATAATTTTCACTAGTTCATACATACATACAAAATACACAAACACAATTACTATGTAACTATCGTTTTTATTAAATGTTTGTTAACACACACATCATACACAAGCATACGCTTCTTATACAACACAGTTAGAAGTTAGATTAGACAGTTAGTTTCCTTTCCTTTCTTTTCAAGTCGAATGAAACTAATAATAACAATAATAATAAATACAATGTTGGGCGTATAAGTTTCATAGAAAATTTCCTTATGAATAATCAATGAATACTTGTGGTGTGTGTATGTGTTATTTGATACTGCTGACCGGGAGAAGTGTAATGTATATATATATGTCACTGGAAATGATTTTCAAAATTGTGATGAAAGACGCCTAAAACAAACACAGATTATATATATGTATATGCATGTGTAGATTTAATTAACAGCGTTCCAATGCTGCAGTCCATGAATTGAATGGTGTTAACACACTATAACCATCTAAACGTGATAGTTCATCTCGATGTACTTGACTTGATTGAGCTAATTTACCAATAAGAATTGCTGCATTTCTTTTAGTATCTAAACGTTGACTTTCCTTAAGAAACGTAGAGGAAAAAAAATATTGAAAAAACCAACAGAATTAATATACATTTAAAAGTAACGAATGTTATTACAGTGATATTTACTTGACATAAATCTTACTATTTATTATTGACAGGAACTTATGTTTAGATTTAACATTAAACAATCATTTAACGAAGAAATTTGACTGAAACAATAAAAAAAATATCTCATATATTATCACTAAATCATCTCACGGAATTACACTGATCTAGTGTAATAATTGTTAGTGGGACATAAATTCAATCAACATCATGGGGCACAAAGACGATTGTTCACGGTGGGTCAAAAAAGTACTTGCTATGGACAATCGTAGAAAACATCCTACATGGACAGCTGGCCGAATCTTGAAAATGAAAGGAAGTGTGATTTACGAGGTGTCAGTTGGCTCAGAAGTTTGGGTACGTCATGCTAACCAACTGAAAGCAACTTCTATCGCCAGCAGCGAGACGTAGTATTGAATAACCCTTGACGTTCTGCTAGACACGTTTGAAATCAAAACGCCTAGAACAGACAGGTCATTTTCTGCGCAAGCAAAGAGTGATCCAACTTTACTGCCTTAAAAGATGGACAAATCGAAAGCTCAGGCCAGTCAATCGGTTGCAGTTAAACCCTAGCACTAAATCCTACAAATCTGCTAAAACAAGAGGTGTTAGTGGAAGAACATAGATTGGATTAAAGCATGATTGCGTTGTTGCACGATGATTGGCTCCTTCTTACCCAATCAGAGAATATTCTCATGTAAGAAAACTATAAATATACACTAACATCTTTTTCATTTGGACCTTCTGTCTCCCTTCTGTTGCCTTGCTATTGGAATATAATCTATTTCCTGTTCAACCATGCTCTGATTTGGGAGAACTTCTCGAATGAATTGGTATACGAGAATACTAAGCATTAGGAAGGAAATAGCTGGGTAGTAAGTAATAAATAGGGAGAAAATTATAATAGTAATCAAAATGAAAAAAAACAATGATTACCGCTTCATTCAACTTACTTGTATCAACGTTAATAGATCATAGATTACTGTAGTACCTTGAAGATGTTCAGCTAATGGTGTATCAGAAACACAATATTGTAAAATTAAACAAACATTTCCTGCCAACGGTTCATCTCTAGGCGGTAATTGTTGACGTGATTTATTTAACATAACTGATGATGATGATGTTGGTTGAGACTTATGATTATTATGCTCCACTAGTCGTACACGTATAAGACGTGCTAAACGACGAACACGTCGTTTATCATCACCAATAGCATAACGTAAATTAATTGAATGATTAGTACCAGTAACTAAACAACGAATACATCCAGTAATTAAATGAGATGCAATATTATTGTTATTGGTATTATTGGCTTCATTTTTTAACTGTGACATAATATTTTCATCGGATTGTTGTTGTTGTTGGCCATTTTTTATAACAGTTGTATTGACAGGTGGTACACGTTTAGAACATGAATCTAATGAGCTATATAAATGCATATATATGATGAGAAAAAAAATAGCATACAAATCATTGAATGATAATAACATTTTATTTAAATGAACAACATAATGCTTTTTTTTCTAAAATATCACAAATATTTAATTATCATCCTCTCCTCTTAGAGAGTAGTGTAGTGAACGAGGTATTGTATTTTAACGAAAATTACAGAGTTACTCAGTAGGATCGGAAAACCATATCGTAAATTGTTCATTTGCAAAATATCAATCCATCATATCGAACTGGATTGTTCCTGTTGCAAAACATCAATCCATTGTCACTATTCATGCGTTTTTCATACCAATTCCATTGTATTCTAACTCTTCCTTTCTTGATCTTCCCCCATCTTCGAGCTGCCAGACATTACGTTGACACTCACGTCATATACTACTTATAAGTAACTCACACCACAGTATTAGTTCAAAAACCATGTCATATTTTGTTAAGTGACCACCAACTTTTTCCAATAATTAATTCTATCGTCACAATCTATATACACAGTAGTGACAAGTTCATAATAATTGTTGTTACTACACAAAAATACATATGGTCGAAATACAGAAAAATTACATAAAATATGAACTAATTAGTTTAATCAATTAACTCGATCTATTCACACTTCACTTCAAATATACATTTTATTGGCAAAACGTATCTTTATTTGTATCACATTGAATACACAGCTAGACAGACATTTTACCTTTCCAAATTAATGACAACTGATATCATTATTTATCAAACATTTATGACCCCGATGCAATAAAAAAATAATAAGTGCACTACTATTTTAACAATAATGTAACATTGTCTAGTTTCATTTATTCATTTATTTATAATGTATCATTCAGTCAGTCAGTTGCGACGTAGAACTTCGTACGTATGTACATAAGTTCAGGTTGCCATACCACATGGGCACAGAGACGCAAATGTCAAATCAAATCTCATAGTGATAAAGATAGTAGAGGTATTAATGGTAATGAAGAAGACTAGGGTTTGAAGATATTATTCAAGAAGTATAATTCAGTGAGATAAGGTTAGAAAGACAAAGGTACAGGTGCTGACGATTCCAGAAGATTAAGATTTGAGAGAGCACAACGAACGGATGCGCTTGCGCCATTGCAAACGATTTTGAGCCATGTCATTCAAGGTCTCTAACCATCGATTACTATCATCTCACTGGCCCCAACCACGTAGTCTACACTTACCAACATGACTCAGTCCACTTGTCAGTGACTTCATGGATTTCTGCCATGTTTTGGTCTGGCCGCCCCTAACTTCCTTCCAACCTACTCCTACACCACAAAACATAGCTCGTCGAGGCAGTCGGTGGTTAGGCATACGTAACACATGTCCCAACCACCTCAACTGATGAAGTTTCACCACTTCATCTATTGATCTGCCATCCTTACCTAGTACTCGTTTCCTAACGACAGCATTGCTTACTCGGTTGTCCCACGGTATTTCGTTCATTTCCATTTCAAACTGAACGCCTGCATTGGATTTACGAAAAATTCTGGCTAGTTGATTCCTGTTATCCATTTAACTAGTAGGAGGTATAATAATAAAACTACTTTATTTTGTGAAAACACCATATATCATCATTGGATCTGGATGATAAAATCAATTTTGATTTTTTGACATGAATTGAAAAAGAAAACACGTTAGTTGTGATGTTATATCAGTTAGTAGATAGGTCAAGATTCAATCAATATAGCTCTAGAAGATAGAGTCAAGGGACTTATTAGGTCAGGGCAATGACATACATTCCATCCTGCTAGAACAACAAAATTCATGGAAATGAAAAGGTCGTTGTTTCTGAATCTACATTAAGGCATCATCAACAGTCAAAAAATCTCAAAGTAAAATAAAATCAATCGATTTAAATACCACGGCTTGAAACACACATCATTTCACAAGTAATGCAAACGGCATAAATGCATCAGTCCTTTTTTTTAACAAACATTTTTACATACCTCACAACCAAACTACTCTAAGTTCAGTGATTTATCGTATCGAGATTCAATTATTGTAATCCAAAAAAAAATACCAATAACACAAATAACAACATCCAACATTTCACAAACCTACCAACTATCTAAAATTGCAAGTAACAGACGTGTTCGTGATGTTAAATCATTGATTGACTTTGGGATAACCGATCCAGCTGTATGCTCTCCAAACCAAGATGAAAGCTATGAAAGAAAAATAAAGAATCCGACGAATTTGTACATCACTGGCAAAGTGTAGAAGATTCTTTAAAAGTTGAAGAACTCATAATATTACTGGTGCTCAGATCGATTATAAGGTACAGTAAGTTCGTCACTATGTACACCTGAAGCTATTACGAGTTCAACTTAGTCGATAAACGCGAACGAGACAATTACCAGCGTCCAGATAGGCTACCTTGAATCCCAAGCTGAAGATAAAAGGCTTTGTAAGCGTAGAAAGTATATTCTACAAACACCCAGCAATCACAATACAATCAAGCACACAACTCTCGTTTATTTATACATCATAGAAACGACCTTGGGACAGTTACGGAAATAGCACACTAAAATACACAACAGCCAATCACAGCCATGGATTTTCCTGGTGGAAAATGAAATCTCAAGGTCAACTGATCAGCCCATGCTGGCAAACGTGAAATCCAAAATAAGGCATTTATCAAGCGAGTTCTGGGGACCTAACGTCCCCAACAGTAAGTACGTAGTATTCGAAAAAAAACAATGCGTTTTTCTACTAATATCAGTCGGTCAGCCACAACTTAGAACTACAGAGACGCAATTTTCAATTCCAATCGCATACTTGTAGAGGTAGTAAACGTATAAGCAGTAATCAAAAAGATTGAAGATAGAATATGTTATTCGAAATATATACCCCAGTGGAATCAATTAAAAAAAAGAAAACGGTTATGACGAATTCAGAAGATTAGGATTTGAGAGAACATAAAGAACGATTTTAAGCTATGTTTTTCAAGGTCTCTTACCATTGGTTACTATCATCTCGCGGACCCCAATCAGGTAGACTACACATACCAACATGACTCAGTCCACATGTCAGACAGTGGTTAGGCATAAATGACACATGTCCCAACCACCTCAAATGATGAAGTTTCACTACTTCATCTATTGATCTGTCATTCTTACCTACGACACGTTTCTTAACAACTGCATTGCTTAGTCGGTTGTCCCAAGATAGACGAGCAATGCTTCGGAGACATCTATGATCGAATAGCTGTAATCTACGAATACCATCAACTCTTACCGGCCATGTTTCGCATCTATATAGTAGGACGGAGCAAACTACTGCGTAGTTCACTCATCCTTTCGTTAGCAAACGGATATCTCGCCTACTACATAATTGACGAAGGTTGGCAAAAACCAATCGAGCCTTCTGTGTCCGTGCTGAGATTTTATCTGTCACCAGGCCATCAGCACTGACGAGACTCCCGAGATAACCGAAGCGGCCGACACGCTCGACTACTTCACTCCGTATTACGAATCTAGGTGCCGATCCTGAAGCAAAAGTTTGCATTTCGACAGGGAGAATAGCATCCCAAATATGTTTGCATTGTTACTTAGAATAGTCAAGAGACACTGCATTTTGTCAGTGTCTTCACCTAAAAGAACTATATCATCGACATATTCTAAGTCAACAAGTAAGTCTCCTGGTAGAAAAGTTCGACTCTTAAAAAGGCTATATACAAAGTCTACTAACATCATGATCTAGCGAATCAGTTGGAGTATCTATCACTCATCCTTGTAAGTTTACGTTTTCTATTCTTTCATCTCACTAATTCTCATGTTTATTTCTACATAATCCTTTGAACATATTTAACTCAATTTGTTAATTTCCCTCTTCTGTGCTGTGCTCATATGAAATATGGTTACAGTTTGGTTAGTTATTTTATTAAGTGACGCAGTACTACTACTTATCACAACTGGGGATTTTAAAAACAAATTCATAAACACCTAAACTATGAGAACAATTCACATTCATCAAACTCTTATTCACTCACTCATTCATTCAATTGTCAATATCTCAATTACTTACTTGATTCGTATCATGACATAATGGTAATAATCGTCCAGCTAAAGCAATCACAACAGCTCTTAATTCTGGTCCATGACCAATTTGATCTAAAATAGCACCGATTCCATTCAGCAGAGAATTAATTAATTTACTCGATGTTAAACAACAAAATATTGTACAATTGTCATTATTGAGAGAATGATTCATAAAGTTGAAGTTATTATTGTTATGATTCATCGTGGATTGATCCAATTGTCCCCCGACATAAATATTATGTAATAGTCGACAAATTGATGCGACTAGATAAGCATGACTTGATTGAAAATAACAAGATAGAAATATATAAACACATTTTATATAACAAGGGAATAGCTTTAGAAGTTAATCACTAATGAAATAAGCATTTTTTTTGTATTGAACAGTTAGTTAGTTAGTTAGTTAGTTAACAGATTCTACAAGGATAATTAATGCTATCAAAAATTATCGTCAGTAATCAGACCGAAATAATTGATTCAAATTAGCCCAAGATTGATAGAACCAGTCAGTCAGTCAGTCAGATGCAACGTAGAACTTCGTACGTAAGTACGAATTCAAATCCAATAGTAGAGGAGGTAGTAAAGGTATTAGAAGTATTCGGAGAGGTTAGGATTAGAAGATATTTTTCAAGAAGTATGATTCAATGAGATAGGTTTAGAAAGACAAAACTAGAGGTGTTGAAGAATCCAGAAGATTAGGATTTGAGAGAACACAAAGCATAAATGCACCGGCGCCATTGATAGAACCATTTGCATGGCTTGTCTATCTCTTCACCCTAATAATCAATATAGTTCCGACGAATATTCAGTAATGCAAGGAAGGTCTTGTTTTCGCCTTGGTACTAATACTATTATTATTTGACTGGTCGATTGATTTTTATCTCAAATTTTTAAAACAACCTGAGATATATTAGTTAGTATCATACATTACTAATAATATACACAAATTTTTATATATATAGCATATATAGCATTTATGTAGACATTGATTTTTAAGTAATGATTATTTAGAGTTGTTCACTGACGACCTACTTTTCACCGATTCACCTACCTACCTACTACTAGTAGTAGTAGTAGTAGTAGTAGTAGTCAGTTGTTTACTTTCACTGAATGTAGGTGTGCGTATGTGTGTACAATTCTAATATTATTATTATTATTATTTTTAATATCATTACATAATCTGCCGTGTGGTAACATGACTATGACTCGTGAATCGAATATAGACTTTTATATTAATGTTTACAACACTAGAACTTGAACTCAATAACTTTCACTGCAAATTAATCAAGTTAGACATTAACACCGTTAGATACCGGCTCAGTGGTCCGATGGTTAGGTGTTCGCGCACAATACCGAAGCTCCTGGGTTCGAATCCTGCGGGGTGCAGGAGTTGTGGATGCGCACTGCTGATGAGTCCCATAATAGGACGAAATGGCCGTCTAGTGCTTCCAGGTTTCTAATGGTGGTCTAACATTGATCGATCGATCATGGTTTCAAAAAAGTCTTGATGTGCTGAATTTAGATAGTCACTCGCTTAACATACTATATCAATTCAATGAAAACAAACAAATTTAACGCATGTTCATAGATTCCTCTATCAGTTTGTGATACAAACTTTAAATTTAAGTAGAAAATAACAAAACTGACTAACAAATGAAGACAAGGAACTTTTTTTTTCTTAACAATGGAAAATAAATGTTAACGTTGACTAGGTCATGTATCTCAGTTGTATGATTGTGGTGGTGGTGTTTCGTTCTCTGAACTGGTTGTTTTGATTGTGGAGCTTTGATTGTTCTTCTGAACAATGAATAGTCAGATAGCAAACAATCTTAAAGTGATTCTTAAAAATTAATTAAAGCAGCTGGTATTATTAAATGAACAGTTGTGTAATTGAGTATTCGAATCTAAATTTATCATTACTTGTTAACAAATTGAATGCTGACAGAGATTATGTCTGTTAGGCAACTGTTTCAGTCATTTATGTTTGAAAATGAGAATAAAAAAAACCCCACTATTCATTGACTCTAATATTTGCCTTTATACAAACAAGAAGAGTAATATCTGGTAGTTAGTTAGCAATGAAGTTGTCAGTCAGTCAGTCAGATGCGACGTAGAACTTCGTACGTAAGTACATCAGTTCATGTCGCCATACCACATCAGCACAGAGATATAATTGTCAATTCAAATCCAATAGTAGAAGAGGTAGTAAAGGTATTAGAAGTAATCGAAGAGGTAAGGATTAGAAGCATGATTCAGTGAGAAAAGTTTAGAAAGTCAAAACTAGAGGGGTTGAAGAATCCAGAAGATTAGGATTTGAGAGAACACAAAGAATAAATGCATCGGCGCCATTGTGAACGATTTTGAGCCATGTCATTCAAGGTCTGTAACCATCGATTATTATCATCTCGTAACAGCAATGAAGTAGACATGAAGTGGAAACTTGGTGAGCAAAAAATCTTAGAAACTGATAATAAACAAGTCATTGATAGCTTGTCAACTAGAAACCTGTAACCTCAAACAATTACTGGCAAAAAATCAGAATCATTCTTTACAGTGTCATCAACTGAAAGGGCCCACTTCACCAACCACACACATTACTAACCACCAACACATAACACAACCATTGATAGCTCTCTCTCAAAAACAAAAAAAACGTCTAGTTAATGAGAATTCAGTTAAATAAATTATCGAACAAATAAATTCAAATAATTACAACATACCTAACATCACTCAATAGTGGAACATGATAAGAAAGACAATTAGATAATCCAAATAATAAAGCTTTACGACTTTGTAGAACAGTTTTTTGAAAAGTACGATCTTGACAAGCATTGCTTAGACTATCTAATAAAGTTGCCAGACATTGACATGTAGTCGATGAAGGTTGTGTGTGATTGGTATTATTAGCAGCAGTTGGAGATGATGAATTCAATGCAGATTCAATAATTAACAATAGACCATGTAAACCTTCCGTAGAAGATCGAGCAAGTATCTGTGAAATGAAGAAGAAGAAGAATACATACATACACATATATGCATTAAGGCGTATGTGATAAGTTCCAATTCAAGTGAATGACATACAAGTAGAAATCAATTATACAGTTAACAAAAAAAAAGAATATATGATTGTTGGTATTAGTAATCACAAATATGTCCATTGACTTATGGTGTTTTAAAAAGTATGTTTGTTCTTGAATAACAATAGCAGAATTCAGCAATAATAGTAACAATAATAATAATAGTATTAAAGTCAAACGATTACATAATTAGTTCACTAATATGCGCAACATTCATTTATTATTTCAAGAAAATATGACAAAACGAAATAGTATTGATTCAAACAGAAAAGACAATAAGTCATATGACTTAGAATCGTTCACAATCACTCAAATGCATTCACTCTTCATCTCAATCGAAATAATCATTTCGCATATTGTCCCATGTTTTCTGTTTAGCGTTTTTTAGCGAGTTAGTTTTTTTTGGTGGGATGGAGTCGCCAACACCACACCCAGCTTTCCTCCTTTATCCGAGTTTGGGACCGGCATTAGAGCCGAAGAGTCTACAGGCGGAAAGCACCCAACTGCGTCACAAGACAAGCCCTCACAAGGAACCCTCAAGGTAAAAGGAAAAGAGGAAGGTCAAAGAACAAATTACGCCGGGAAATAGAGAAAGATATGAGAAGAATGAACAAAAATTGGACAAAAGTGGAAAGGGAAACCCAGGACATAGTAGGGTGGAGAATGCTAGTCGGCGGCCTATGCTCCATTGGGGGGGGTGACAGGCGTAAGTAAGTAAGTAACGATATCCTGCCATACACACCTATGTACCCCGGCCTTTTTGATTGACACTGTCAACGATTAGTGAAGACCTTTGTGGATCGATCACCTAGTTCGTTTCATCACACAGTGCAAATATGTAGTATGGCTACTCGAGTCAACACACGTTTGTATCAGGATGTAACGTTGATAATAATTAGAATATACGATTTCGT